CTTCCCGCGGGGCAGGGAGCCCGACGCGGGGCTCGATCCCAGGACCCTGGGATCATGACCTGAGCCGAAGGCAGACGCCCAACGACTGAGCCCCCCAGGCGCCCGGTTACCGCGTCGGGCTCCCTGCCCCATGGGAAGCCTGCTTCTCCCTCTCCCACTCCCCTGCTTGTGTTCCCTTTCTCGCTCTCTCTCTGTCAAATAAATAAAAATCTTTATAAAAAACAAAACAGATTTTAAAATTGCAGATAGGAGAGTGCCTGGGTGCCTCGGTTGGTTAAGTGTCTGCCTTCAGCTGAGGTCATGATCCTGGAGTCTAGGGATCGAGTCCCGTGTGGGGCTCCCTGCTCGGCGGGAAGCCTGCTGCTTCCTCTGTCCATCACTTCACTTGTGCTCTCTCACCTTCTCTCAGCTAAATAAATAAAAGCGTTAAAAGAAAATAAAATTTCGGACAGGATTTCTAATGATGAGTTCTTTAAATTCTGGACTATTTGAACATGGTGTATTTGAATATGGTATGTTATTCCTTTCTTGGAACATTGGGCTTTGTTCACATTTTATTTGGTTTCTGTCCTTCCGTCTGTACGGGAGAGCCTCCTAGGCGTTTTGTACGGACAGTGGTGGCTTTGGTTGTGCTGGGCTCGGAGCATAGGCCCTGGAACGCGGTACCTAACCGGAGTTATCTATCCCACAGCCGCTGGTGGAAGTGGGGACTCTTCAGATCAACATAAACATTACAAGGTCAGGACACCAGGCCGGCTCCGTAGGAAGAGCGTGCGACTCCTGATCTCGGAGTCGTGAGTCCAAGCTCCGTGTCCGGTGTAGAGGTTACTGAAAAAACAATAATAAACTTTTAACAACAACGTTCAAGAGGATATGAGCTTTGCTGTCCGCCCCACTTGGTGTTTTCGGAATGTGTTTTGAACATACAATACTTTTTCCTTTTTTATGCTGTGGGACTGTGGCATGGATAGCCTTCCACCTCACCTTTTCCCTTAAAAGCATCGTGGGGCTACGTAGCAATAGGCGTCCGTGTTCTGGCATCCGCACAGCCCCGTGGACTTCACTGTAGGGAGTCCTACAGGTGACACCTCAGGGGTGGCCCTCTGCTCCCCGCTTGCCCAGGCCCTGACCCCGGGGAGCCCTGCACATTCCTGCCCCGCCCGGGGCCGCGTCTGTGCCCTGCCTGGCTGGCAGGTCCTCCATGCACACCATCCCAGCTCCGATCTGCAGGAAGTAGCCTGCTGTGGCTTCGCTGTGGGCTGGGTCCACGGACTCCCATTCTCACCCCAGCTCCCGGATTGCACTTGTTCCGTCCGTAAAGTTTCCATCCACTCCGCTGTGCCAGTTGGACGACCCGTGCTGGGAGGTCTGGGGACCAAGTGGCCGTGCCTCGGGGGCCCGGTTCTGCTTCCTCACTGCGCCTGTCAGTCGATGCAGGATAGGGCCTGCATGGGGGGTGGGGTGCGCTCTGGAAACCTTGACCTGCTGGCAGATTGTCCCTGGGGCTTTGCCGGAGGCCCAGCCCCCAGTTGGTTCTGATTCTCTGCTGGTTTGATGCTTCTTCCCCTGCTGGCCTTGGGGGTGAGGCCCAAACTGAGGCAGTAGCCAGCGTTGGCTCGTGCGGCTGTGCTTTAGTGGGCCCACTCACTGCTCTTTTCTCCTGCTTCCCATTTCAGGGCTTGGTTATGATCCGTACAACCCCGAGCTGCCCAAGCCCCCTGTGCAGAGGGAGAATGGAGCCCTGGGCAGAGGGGATGAGCCCCGCTCAGACATCCTGGAGCTGGAGCTGGTCAATCAGGCCATTGAGGCTGTGCGCTCGGAGGTGGAACTCGAGCAGCGGCGGTACCAAGAGCTCCTGGAGACGGCCCGAGAGCACAGCTCTGCGGAGGCCCCCGCCGTGGCGCCCCGAGGCCCCGCCGCTTGCCCTGCCGCTGGCCTGGACGAAGACGCCTTTCCACTGTCCTTCGATTACAACCCTGGTGGCCGTCCTGGCCTTTTAAGCCCTGATGCCAGCTACCAGCCCACTCCTCTGGCCACCGCCGCCGAGGCAGGCAGCAAGTACTCGCTGGCCTCTCTGGATCGGGCGCAGGGCCATGGCGGAGGGGGTGGCAGCACCCTGGAGTACGTCCCCAAGGCTGTGAGCCAGCCCCAGCGATACGGCCGCCCCGTCCCCAGCAGCAAGTACGTGTTGGACGACTCCAAGCCATCCACGGACCTGGAGTACGACCCACTGTCCAACTTCTCCGCCCGGCTGCTCAGCAGGGCCAGTTCCAAGGACGACAGGGCCCCCAAGAGGCCCAGGGGCTCCCGGGGTAGCGAACCCTACACGCCCGCCCTCAAGAAGCCCTGCGACCCCTTTGCTGGCTGCGACGCCAGGTTCTCAGACTCGGATGATGATGCCGCCGCAGCTCTGCCTGACGTGCCCGTCACCACCAGTCCCCCGAGATCCCAGGCGGGCCCCGAGAGCAAGGCCCCCGGGCAGCCAGCCTCCAGAGAGAGCCAGGATGCTGAGGAGGGCGGCCTGCGGGAGACCAAGGAGATGGCGGTGCAGTATGACGTGGGGGACCTCGGGCAGTCCCCCAAGGCTCCCGGTGGGACACCCGTGGCCAAGCCCAGCTCCCCGGCCAGGGCCTCCCGGGAGCCCAGCAGCTCCAAGCAGGGAAGACCCAAGAAGAAGAAAAGTGGGGCACTGCCTGCCCCCGGCCCCAAGGACAGCATCCAGAGGAAGGACAGGGGCAAAGACGGAGAGCACGGGAGGCCGGCCGGGAAGCCCTGTGCAGACCGGAGGGGCCCGCAGGCTGGCAGCCCCCGGCATAAGGCCGAGCAGCCCGAAGGGACCAAGAAAAAGCCATCTTCGGCCACCCCGGTGGCCAGCTCAGGGAAAAGCCGGCCTGACCGCGGGAGTGTCCACCAGCTGCCAAACAGGCCCGGCGGGAAGACCGTGTCGGGGAAGCTGGCCGAGCGGAAGGCCCGCTCGCTGGACGAGGGTGCCTCCCGGGATGCCCCCAAGCTGCAGAAGCGGGCCCTGAGCCACGCAGACCTCTTCGGGGACGAGAGCGAGGACGAAGGCCCGGGTCCCGCGGCGCCCCCTGCCGCCCCGCCCCACCTCAGCTCCACCTCGGACTCCGACTCGGACTCGGACAGCAGTCTGGGCTACTCAGCCGCTCAGGGGCCGCGCAAGCGCCTCAAGGCCCCCCTGCCCGCCCGGCCTGCCCCCGCCTCCCCCTCCTCATGCTCCTCCTCCTCCTCCTCCTCCTCCTCCTCCTCCTCCTCCTCCTCCTCCTCGTCTGGGGTGGGCGGGGGTGTGGACTACGCTGCTCTGGAGAAGGAGGTCGACTTTGACTCCGACCCCATGGAAGAGTGTCTGCGCATCTTCAACGAGTCCACCAGCGTCAAGACGGAGGACAGGGGCCGGCTGGCCCGGCAGGTGAGCCGCCTCCGCAGGGCCCCTGTGGCTGCGGTGGGGGCGCTCCCATCCTTCCTCAGCCAGGAGCCCTTGGGGGCTGCCTGCGGAACCCCTGCCCCCCAGCCTGCCTTGGCCACAAAGAGGAGGCTTAAGGCCCACCCAGCAGGCTCCCGGGGCAGTGTTCTGAGATCCACAGAGACCAGGCAAAGTTGTGCAGTGCATTGCCCACCTCTCCCTCCTCCCCCTCTGCCCTCCCTGTCTCCTCCATGCCCCCCAAACCCAGGCTAGCCCCAGCCTTTCTGGGTCGGCCGGCCAGGGTCCCCATGTCAGCCACCAGAGGGAGCTTGCTTTTCCACAAAGCTCAGAAAACCGCTGCTTCTGGGAGGGTCGCAAGGTCCCTCCCGGGCTGCGCTGTCCTTTACCGCCCTGCTCTGTTCACAGACCTTTGAGGTGGTGCGGGTCAGATTTCTCCACCCGGTTCCTGTGTTTCTGAGCTGCCCCCCCATGAGCACGTGAGGGAGGGGACCAGGAGGCAGTGATCTGGGCGGGAGACCACTTTGGCTGAGGCCCGTGTCGCACTTGGGGCTGGGGTGTGTCTGCAGGAGATGTGCTGGGGGGCCTGTTTCCTCACCTGTGAGTGGGCGGGGGTTGCAGGTGAGGGCCCCACCTCGTGTCTCAAGACCTGGGAGCCCCTCCTTTGAGTGCGTCACTGCCTTCCCACCTCACCCTGTCTCAGGTCTGGGAGCCTGCTGCATTGGTGTGGGAGGTGAGGCCCGAGAGAGGGAGCCTCGCTGAGGGACGGATGTGTGTTTCAGCCCCCCAAGGAAGAGAAAATCGAAGACAAGGGGCATTCGGGTCTGACCACTCTGTTCCCTGGGCAGAAGAGGAGAATTTCTCATCTCTCCAAGCAAGGCAAGGAGGTAAGAGTCTGCTTCTGGGTCCTGGGTAGAAGCTGGTAGGAGCGAGGCCCCTGTCTGCGAAACTGGATCCCCGTGTTCCCCGGCCGAGGGGTTCCTGTGTCCTGGCACAGAAGTGACTGGAGCCCATCTCCGGTCTTCAGGCTGTGCTCTGTGCTGGGGGGAGTCGGGCACAGTGCAGGAAGGGCGATGTGAGGGGCGGCTCCGGGGCGGCCGTCCTCCATCAGGGTCACACAGCACAGCCCAACCTTTCTGAGCCGATTTCCACCGTGAAGACAGGAACAGTGGTTGGTGGCTGAGGCAGCTAGCACAGGAGACTGGGGCAGAGGGTGGGGCTCCCGGCCAAGCACCTGGGAGCTCTGGTTGATTCAGTCACTGGACCCCTCCCCTGGTGAAGCTGGAGGCTAGAGAGGATTGAATCAAGCGGGATTGGATCGGTATGCTAATCCAATCAGGGGGCCCAGGGTGTGCCTGTTATCAGGGCCAAAGGCACGGCCTGGGCCTTCTGAAGGCGGCAGCCAAGACAGCAGGGCCACGGGGGTGCTCCGCTCCGGGACGGCGAGGCAACATGAGTTTGAGGCCGACCATGCTGAGCCCCTTGGTTCCTGCCTGGGTGTCCGAGAACTCGGAAGGCCCCAGGGCAGCTGGACGCGTCCCAGCCCTGGAGCCCCGGCCTTCCTGCCTGTGGCTGTACTGTCAGCTTTTTGCCCCACGTGGCCTGCTCTGGGTGCCCCCAACCTACAGCCCCACCCTGGAATTTGTCATCACTCAGGCAGAGCCCGTGAGGAGAGGCCCGGCTCCCCCTGCCCGGCCTCCCACCGCCCAGGAGGTATGCTATCGGCGGGCCCAGCAGGCCCAGAGGGACTCTGCTCCCTGGCTCCAGGCTACCCAGCCGCCCGCTGAGAAGCCCTCCTCCATCCATATCTCAGCCCCTGGCGAGAAGAGGAGGATCGCCCACGTTCCCAACCCCCGTCTGGCTGCCGGTAAGTCCCAGGGCACAGGGGCTCGGGGTGATAGGAGGGGCCCAAGGCCAGGCTCCACTTCTGCCAGCCGTGGTGGCCTTGGACAGGGCCCAGCTGGGGCCTCAGCATGCTTGTCTGTGAGATGGGGATAAGGGTCTCTCTGAGCGGTAGCAGGCGGGCCTGGTGCAGTGCCCAGCGGCTCTGGGCCTTTCCTGGCGTTGGTGCTGGTCCTGGGCTGCTGCCTGTGGAGAGTCGGAGGGGTGTCTTCCTCCCATCACTTGTCCGTCAGGCCCATAGCCTCCCTCTGAGGCCCCAACGCAGAGGTCTCCCTGTGACTCTCCCTCTGTCCCGGCCCCTGGTCTCCGTGTCCTCGCCTCCCCCGGGCTCCTGGGGTGTTGGAGGCGGCTGGCCTGGTGGGGGCCGGTCTGAGTGCGGGCCCCGGGCCCTAGACAGTGACGCCAGGAGCAGGGAGCTGGCCGCAGGGTTGAATGTGGGGTGGGGCCCCTGGCTCCTGCCCAGGTGTGGCTGGAGGCTCTCGGCTGATCTGGGGGGCTCGGGGCGGGTCTTGCTCCATACTGCGGAAGCCGGGTGACACGTCCGCGGTCTGACAGGTGGGACACTTGGTGGGTATCTCTGGGTCAGCGGTGCCTGGAGCTGAGGAAATGGGAGGGGGGCTCAGGAGGGCTCGTTCAGATGCAGAGTCAGCCTCTCCGGGGGAGGCTCCTGCCATCTGACCAGCTCCCAGGGGACTCCCTTGCTGCTGTTCAAACACCCCCTTGAGGAACCGGGGCCTGAGGGGCAGCCGCACAAAGTAGTCCTACAAATGCAGGCACCCGTAGCCACCCCTGCTTTTTCCTGGTGCCGGGAACCTTCTTCAGGATAAGCTGTTGCATCCTGATCCTTCCCTACCCCCAGACTCCCCAGTTAGAACCCGATGGCGAGGGGTGTTGGCTGGGGTTCTTTAGTAGCGGCAAAGGGTGAGGACCCTGAACCGCGTGGGGCCCGGGACTTGACTCTCTCACAAACCCACAGCTTCTGCCCGCGGCCGAGTTGTGCGGGTCAGTCCTGGCACACGACCCTCGCCATAACACGCTGGGGGAGGCGTCAGCCCGCGGGGAGTCCGGCGTTTGTAGGCACTGTGGCCACCTCCCTGAGCGGCAGTGGGACCCACCTGAGGTCTCAGGAGTCCCGTCTGATGCTCCGGGCTGGCTTTCCTTTCCACGTGTGCCCCAGGTGCTCCTGAGAAGTCTCTGTCTAAATGAACCTAAGAGCTGTTTTTCCATCCCTGAGAAGTGCATGTTTTCTGCCCCGTCAGCAGAGGCTGACCCTGGTGTCGGAGGGGCCACAGCCGGCTCGTGCTGCTAGCGTCCTTCCCAGGAGGCCGGGGACCCAGGCCCTCTGCACTCCTCACCTGCTCCCATTCTTTTGTCATGGCCGAGCCTGGGAGCAGGGCTGGTCTGAGGCCCCGCGCGCGTGTGCACCCAGCCCGCCTCCCCTAGCCCCCGCCGCCTGCCTGGAGCCCTTGGAAACGGCCCCACAGGCGGGTGCCCTCCTCCCTGGGGGGGTGGGGGGCGGGGGGCGGGAGACTGTTTGGTTTGTGACCTCATCAAAGGGAGAGGCAGAACACACAGGCCGCGGCGGGCAGGCCAGCTGGTCACAATGACTGGGCCGGGGACAGCCTATACCCTCTGCTCCTCAGCCCAGGAGCCAGGGCCTTTCCTCCCTCATACGTCAATGCCTCGGAGTCGGGGGCCGGAACATGTGGCAAAGGCTCCCCATGTGCCCTGCCACTCGCCGGACCACCCAAGTGGCGACGTTGCCTGAGCCGGCCTCCAAAGCCCCATTTGTGTTTCCCCCTTCTCGATGGACTTGCCCGGAAGCAGATAGAGCCTAATGTCATTCCGCAGCCCGTGCCCCACAGCCCGGCCCTTCCCCCTGTGCTCCGAGATGCACGTCTTGCTGGCGCTGAACGACCGCGGCTGCCTGGTGCTCTGCAGCTCGGTGATGGGTGTGCTCTGCTCCCGCACTCACGGACCCTGTGCCCCGCCAGCCCCCACAGGTGCCAAGAGGGCCCTCGCCGCCAGCAGCAGCCAGCCTCCCAATGGCCCCGAGCCGGGCAGCCAGCCCCTGAAGGCGCGCACGTTGTCGGGCATGGCGTCCAAGACCACCACCACCGTCACCCCCAAGCGCGTTGCCCACAGCCCATCTTTACAGGTGAGTGTCCTGCTCCCTGCGGGAGCCTGCCCTGCCCACTCCCTTGGCTCCCCCATCGCCCGGGGCAGCTACGGTTCAGAGGCACTGAGCAGGGGGGCACAGGTGCCTTCCTCCCCCCGCCGCCCTCAGTTTCCCCTCTGTCCACATCGCTGGGGTGGTCTGTTGGCGCTGATGAGCCAGCGGCCACCCTCCTGGTCACCGGAGCCCAGAGTTCCCAGCAGGGTCCACCGTGTGTGTGATGCCCTGTGGGTTTGAGAAATGGCCGTAGAGGCCCAGGCTGGGACATGCCACCTCCAACGGGTCTGTGTCTTCCCTAGAGTTTAAAGAAGCCCGTTATCCCCAAAGAGTTTGGGGGCAAAGTCCCCACAGTCATCCGCCAGCGGTATCTGAACCTGTTCATTGAGGAGTGTCTCAAGTTCTGCTCTTCAAACCAGGAAGCCATAGAGAAGGTGTGTGACCCTGGCAGGTGGCCGCGTCCTAGGCTGAGGGGCTGCTCCCCGGCCCCAAGCCCAGGACAGCAGGCCTGAGCGGCATGTCTGTCCTCAGGCGCTGAGCGAGGAGAAGGTGGCCTACGACCGCAGCCCCAGCAAGAACATCTACTTGAATGTCGCCGTGAACACCCTCAAGAAGCTGCGGGGCCTGGTCCCCAGCTCCGCGCCCGGTCTCAACAGTAAATGGGGGGGGGGGGGGGCCGGGGAGTTCACGTCTGGAAGAGTCAGGTTTGTGCCTGGAGCGCAGGACCCCAGGCTCCCCAGGCGAGGGAGTGGGGCTGTGGGGCCCTGGCCGGCTGGCTCTTGGCTGCTCGGAGCGTGGGGACTCTCAGACAGAAGGCCGCGGGAAACGCTGTGGTGGGGCCAGCGGCTGCTCGGCAGGCTTCTGCGGACGACGATGCTGACCCCACGGCCTCCCCACCGCCTCTCCTCGCTAGTAACCACCCTCCTTAGCTAGCTGGCTCTCTTGAGCCGAGGGGCCCCGCTAACGGGGCGACCTCGTCAGAGGCAAAGCTCACACGGCCTGCTCCGCACGTTCAGCTCCGGGAGGACGTTTCCTTACCGCCTCTGAAGGCACATTAATCCGTCAGTGCGCACACCTCCCTGCTCTCCTGCTCCCGCCTCCGCCCCCACAGCTCCTCTGGGCAGCGTCCACGGAGCCCCCGAAGGCCCTTAGACCGTCCCCGTCCCTTAGGACTACCACCAGCAGCTGCTTCCAGAAGAGTTAAGGTGGGGGGGCAGGGTGGCTGCCCCCAGGTCACAGGCGGTCAGGCCTCTCCTGACTGGGTGCTGAGGAGCCGGCCAGGGGACAGGCCACCACGGAGGGCAGGGGTGCACTCGGGAGTCTGAGCATACTGTACCCTCCCCCTGCTTCCAGAATCCGGTGGCCGGAGGGTCGTGTCTCATGAGATGGTGCTGGGCGGCAAGTTGGCCACCAAGACCAGCTTCTCGCTCAGCCGCCCGAGCAGCCCCCGGGTGGAGGATCTGAAAGGTGAGCCTGGTCCCTCCAGCGGTCCGGCCGGGCCACTCGGGGGCTCAGCGGTGGCCCCTGTGGCAGCATTTCCGCCCACCCCCCGCCAGGCCTGCCCCCCTGCTCGCCTGTCCGGCCCTCCCCGGCCTTGCTGTGGGATGACCGCCTCTCCCGGTTGTCCCCAGGGGTTGCCCTGTATGGTCGCCTCAAGGAGTACCTGCTCACTGAGGACCAGCTCAAAGAGAACGGCTACCCCTTCCCGCACCCCGAGCGGCCGGGGGGCGCCGTCATCTTCACGGCTGAGGAGAAGAAGCCCAAGGACTGTGAGTGGGCTTGAGCACCCACGTTTCGGGGGCGGGCTGGCCTGGGGGCGGCTCGCGGAGGGCCGTCTGGGTGGAGGGGGCGTGAAGGTGAGCAAGGGACAGACGCAGGGGGCTCGGGGCCTGATGCCTCAGCCCTCCTGCTGCCTCACAGCGTCCTGCAGAATCTGCTGCCGGTGCGGCGCCGAGTACCTCGTGTCCCCGTCGGGCCGCTGTGTGCGGGAGGAGGAGTGCTGCTACCACTGGGGGCGGCTCCGCCGGAACCGAGGTGAGCCCTCCGGCGCCCCCAGGGAAGGAGGCTGGAGGTACCCGCCTCACGGGGCCTGCCCTCCTCTGCTGGGAAGCCTTTGCCCGGGCCTTCGGGTGCCGGCGTGGGGCGGGCCGCCTGGGGGCCCCCCCGGCCCTGACCGCCACCTCCCTTCCAGTGGCTGGCGGCTGGGAGACTCAGTACACGTGCTGCTCGGCCGCCATTGGCTCCACCGGCTGCCAGGTCGCCAAGGTAGGTCTCTCGGGCCCTGCTCGGCGCTTTCCCGCCTGGCCGGAAAGGAGGTGCGGCTGGGCCAGAGCCCCGACCCCCCCCTTCCCTGTGCTCTCATCTGTGTGCCTCTGACGGTGGCGTTGGAGAGGGGGGGACGTCCCCCGGACACCGCCGGCTCACCGGCCTTCACGTCTCTCCTGCAGCAACACGTGCAGGATGGCCGGAAGGAAAACCTCGAAGGCTTCGTGAAGACTTTCGATAAAGAACTTTCGGAAGATGCTCACCCAGGGATCTTCGCCCTCGACTGTGAAATGGTGAGTTGCGTGCCGCGCGTGCTCGTGGCGGCCGGGCACCTGCACCCGCAGCTTGGAGCCGGCGTGGGTCTCAGGATAGAGCAGGTGAGGGGAAGAGCCGCAGCAGCGGCGGGTGCTGGTCTCTCTCTCTGGCTCGGGCTGTGAGAGCGGGCTTTTCCCCCACCGCCAAGCAGAAGCTCTGGCTTCGGCCCTCGGCTCGCCCCAGGCACACTGACGACCTAGCTGTGTTTACTCGGGACTGGCATGCACACCGGGGGCGCTGCTGGGGCTTAGGGCACCCCGGGTTCACGCCTGCTCCGGCTCCCAGAGGAGCCCCCGGGAGCTCCCCCAGAGCTTGGGGCAGGGCGGGCGCGTTGTCACATGAGCCCTCCCGGCCGCGCAGTCCTACACCACGTACGGCCTGGAGCTGACGCGCGTCACGGTGGTGGACACGGACATGCAGGTGGTTTACGACACCTTCGTCAAGCCAGACAACGAGATCGTTGACTACAACACCAGGTGCGGCCCCGACCCCCCGCTCCCCGCCCGGCTCTGGGCTTGGGAACCCCAGATCCCTCTCTAGCTACCCTCAGGCCCCGACTCTGCCCACTGCAGGTTTTCAGGGGTGACCGAGGCTGACCTCGCCGACACGAGCATCTCGCTCCGGGACGTCCAGGCCGTCCTGCTGAGCATGTTCAGCGCCGACACCGTCCTCATCGGACACAGCCTGGAGAGCGACCTGCTGGCCTTGAAGGTACTGCCCGCCCCTGGGCTCCGCTTGCCAAGGGTCCTGGGCAGGTGGCCGGGGCTGTCCTGGGCCCCGGGGCCCTCGGCAGGGTGGGGGGAGGGGCAGGAGTTGGGTGGTCCGACCCCGGGCACCTTCCTACCCTGGCTCCCTGGGGCCCTGGCCCCTGCGGTCTCTGCCCAGCCGCCCGCCCACAGGTCATCCACAGCACCGTGGTGGACACCTCCGTGCTCTTCCCACACCGCCTGGGCCTCCCCTACAAGCGCTCCCTGCGGAACCTCATGGCTGACTACCTCAGACAGATCATCCAGGACAACGGTGAGCCGGCGGGCGGCGGGGTGGCGGGGCCGGACCTGGGGGGCGCGCCCACCCTGACGCACCCCCCTCCCGCTCTGCAGTGGATGGGCACAGCTCCAGCGAGGACGCCAGCGCCTGCATGCACCTGGTGATCTGGAAGATCCGAGAAGACGCCAAGACCAAGCGGTGACCGCTGCCGCCTGCCCGCCTTCCCCACAGCCCCCGGCCCGGCCTCTACCCCAGGCCTCTTCCAAAACAGTGCAATAAATCTCGAGAGCTAACCCTGTCCACGTCGCCAAGACACGGAAACAGAGAGAGCGGGACGAGCCGGCGGCACGAGAGCCCCACGCCGAGACCACCTGGAGCCCTGCCCCCCACCTGGTCCCTTGCGCCGCCCCCGCCTTCTGTCCTCTGGAGACTGCTGCTGACTCCCGGAGGAGGCCGGGACAGACCCCCCCCCGCCCCGGCCTCCCCCTCCCCCGCCCGTGGACCCCGCTGCGTCCCTGGCAGCCAGACCTCCTGCTCCTCCTCCTGCCGGGCAGGCTTTTCGTGGGTGTGTTTGAGACAGGGGTTTTTTTTATTTTGTATTGTTATTTTTATTATTTGTAATTTAAACTTGACGACTCGCACAGTTGTCATTTCCCCACCCGGAGAAGCAAGACCCTGGTGCTGCCTTTCCTGTTGGGGGTGGGGGAGGGGGAGAAGTTGGGGGCCGGGAGCCGACAAGCTGTACCCTTGGCAGCCACCAGGACCGAGAGTCCAGCCTGGCCTGGGCCAGACGGGTGGGAACTGGCCTCCCCAAACCCACCTGGACTCCGTGACCTCTGGGAACCAAGCCAGCCCCCCAGGGCCTCGCCTTCTGGACCCCTCCGGGGCCCATCAGCCTCTGGACCCTGTCTTCCTGCCAGGGCCCCACCCTCCCCAGGGGCTGTCTGTAAAGGCCTGCAGCCTCCCTAGGGCTCTGAGCCCCTCTCCCCTAACCCGAGGCAGGGACGGAATAAATGTTTGTATGGATTTTAGCTTGCGTGGCGTCTGGTGGTGTTCTTGGTGCCAGGTGAGCCCCGCGGTCAGCACCTGTGCCCCTAACCGGGGAACCAGCACACCCTTGTTCTTCTTCCTGAGAACCAGCCCCGGTGCCTGAGCTGTCCCCAGGCCTGCCACCCTGGCCTGGGGGTGCAGACCTAGAGCCCTGGGGGGCTTGGTCCCCTGGGGGTGCTGTGATGGTGGAGGCAGTAACTATGTCGTGAGTGGAGTCCACCTTGCTGGCCCAGGGGGGTGGGGGGCTGGGTGTGGTGGGCCCCGGGGGGACCCAGAGAGCCACTGTGCCTTGCATGTCTGAGAAGCTTCCATGGAAAGGGAAGGGTGGCCTGGCCGCTCACCCCCCGTATGCCTGTTTGCTGCTCCTAGGACATGCTTGTGTGCACAACGCCCAGCGATGGAATTGGCGGCTTTGTGAATTATGGTGCCTCTTGGGGGTGGAAGGGCCAGGGCTGCTTGGGTCTCCACCTTTAGTTCTTTTATAATGGGAAGTGAAGCCAGAAATAACCTCGTGGAGGGGCAGGTACCGGAGTGCCCTGGATCTGGAGGCAGGAACACACAGGTGCTGGAGGGAGGGCTTCCTGGAGGAGGCTCCGTCTCTGTCAAACTTCTGTTGGAGGCCCAGAGAGCAGGGTCCCAGGCTGAGGACACAGCAGCCTCTGCCCCCAAGGTGTCCTGGGCCATCGCAGCTGAGGACTGGTTGCTCTCTGGATCCTGGGGGGCCCTCCAGGGGGAGTGTTGACCCAGCCACTGTTGTGTCCCCCTGACGTTCTTGTGACCGTCTGACTTTCTCCCACCTCTTCTGTAAATAAGTAGTTGTTTCCTAAATAAAGGGCACAGGCCTGTTCTTGTGTTTTTGTTTTTGTTTGGAGAGGGGGTTAGCAGGAGAGAGAATCTCAAGCAGGCTCCTCGCCCAGCGCGGAGCCGGACAAAGCGTTTGGATCCCACGACCCTGAGGTCGGGACCGGAGCTGAAATCAAGAGTCGGACCCTTCACTGACCGAGCCACCCAGGTGCCCCCTGTTTCTGTGCTTCTGGTGGTGTCTGCCTCCCCAGAACATACCGAGCCCCCCAGGGAGACCGGGAGGAGGGGTGCAAGCTTTCAGCTGGCCCAAGATGCTGAGTCTTGGAGGCTGCAGGGCCTTTGCAAATCCCAGGGAGGGAATGGGGTTTGGGGACCCAGCAAGGTCTCTCTCTCTCTTTTTTTTTTTAATTTATATATTTTGAGAGAGAGAGAGAATGAGAGAGAGAGAGCACATGAGAGGGGGGAGGGTCAGAGGGAGAAGCAGGCTCCTCGCCGAGGAGGGAGCCCGATGCGGGACTCGATCTCGAGACTCCAGGACCATGACCTGAGCCGAAGGCAGTCGCTTAACCAACTGAGCCGCCCAGGCGCCCCAGCAAGGTCTCTCCTAAAGACTATTAGAACAATCTGTGCAAGCGCCGTCCCCCCCCACCCCCCCGCCCCGCCGCCACCACCACCCCAGGGTCTTTCCCATTAACCACGGGGGCGGCACTGGGTGTTTGTTGAGTGAATGAATAAATGGGAGGTTTACCTGCTCTCCCCTCCCCAGGCCAAGGAAGGTGTGCAGACCAGGCTTCCAAGGAACAAGGAGTAGGGGGTTGCTGCCCTGATGGTGGAGGTCACATCCTCCGTGCTGTCCTCACCACACCCTCACTCACTCCCTCTCGTTCATTCACCCAACATATGCTCACAGGTGTTGCTATGAAGGGCCCCGGGCCCCCGGCAGAGACGGGAGGCTGGGGCATGGAGTCAGGCGCAGGTCCCAGGTCTGGTGGATCAGGAATGGGCCAGAGGGAAGGATCCCCGGTCGAGGAGAGAGGGTGGTGGGGGTGGGAAAGTACCAACTACCTTCCTAATTTCCACACTTCAGACGGTTTCTAAAAGTGAAAATAGGAGAGACGGCGCTCGATCATCTCTTCTGCCTGCCCGAGTTCGCCCCTTCCCTGGAACCCCACTCAGGGAGGCCCTAGCGTCAGCAGGGGCTCCCGCCCTGGCTCAAGTCGCCCACCTCTGGGGCCTGGCCATGACCCTGCCTCATGGCTGTCGCCCACCCCCGTCACCTTCAGGAAGGCCCCGGGAGCCCTGGCCGCCCGCTGGGTGAGCACACACCGGGCCAGAACCTCGTGGGCTTCCTCTAACGGCCTCCCCAGCCCTGCGCCCAGCACCACACCTGCGCCTAGAAGGTGCTCATTAAATAGGTACAGGATGAGTGAGGGAAAACCCAGGCACACAGCTTAGGCCTGTGATCACCTGTGCGTCTTTCCGGTGTTGCTAGCCCCACTCTGGCCCCGTCCAACCATGGCCAGGTCCAATCCACCCTACGGAGGCCCTGCTCCTAAATTACAGGTCCATTAGTACTCTGGCCCTGCTGTGCAAGGCCCCGCCCACTGACCCTCCCCAGCCCCAGCCTACCCCTACCTTGACACCCCTCGACTCCTGGCAAAGCCCCAACCCTGGATCTGGGCCCGACCCTCCTCTGGCTGGCAACACTACAGAGACCGCCCCAGGCTCCACCTCCGCCGGGAGCCCCCTACCTGGCCCTCTCCGTAAGGCTCCGCCCCGCCCCACCCCACCTTGACTTCCGGCCTGGTTCCGCCCCGTGAAACCCTGCCCATGCTCCGCCCCGAACCGGGAGCTCTCGGCGAGACCCCGCCCCCCAGCCGCAGCCTCGCCCCAGGCCCCGCCCCTTGGGCCAGTTCAGCTTCACAAGTCCCCGCCCCCAGGGCCACGCGGGCCACCGCCCCCACCGGGTCCCGCCCAGCTTTAGAAGCCCCTCCTCCCCCGGGGCCGCCCCGCCCCGCCCCGCCCCTCGGGGCCCGCCCATTTGCAGAGTCCCGTCCCCAGGCGGCCCCCGCCCCGGCCAGGCTTACAAAGCCGCCCCGTCCCCTCCGGCACCATCATTTGCATAACCCGCCCCCAGGACTGCCTCCGGCCCGGGCCCCCGCCCCTCGGGTCCCGCCCAGCTTTAGAAGGCCCCGCCCCCAGGGCCGCCCTGGGCCCTCCCCCTCCCGCGCCGCGCCCGCGCCGCCCGTTTCAGGCCGGTTGGCACCGGGCTAACAGCTGCGCCACGTCCGCCGCCCTGGCCACCCGCGGACCGCCGGCCCGGCCCGCGCAGGTGAGCGGCGGCGCTCCCGCTGCTGTGCGTCCCCCGGCGCCCGCGCACCCTCTCTGGACTCCGCCCAGCCTGAGGGTGTGAGGTCGCGGCGGCCGCGGCGGGGCGGAGTCCAGTGGGGGAGCCGCCGCGCCCGGGGCCTTGTGGACCGAGGTCTCCCGTCCAGGGACGCTCCGGCGGCCGCTGCGGGATGCTCGAGTCTTCTCCGTGAGCTGGACGTGGGAAGGAAGGGGACGCCCGCACTGGGGGGCAGGGGCGTCTTCCTGCCCCCACGTGAACTTGGAGTGGATTCTGCCCACCGAGGCGTTCCCCCGGGCCCATCTGCCCCCCGCTGGGTCTCCCCGGCCTCTGGGTCCCGCTTGGCTAAGCCTCGCTCACCCCGGGCCTCACTTTTCCTCATCTGGTGAATGGGCACTGGCCCGGCGCAGGCTCCCGGGAGCAATGGAACTGGCTCTGAGCCAGGTCCTCCCCGTCGGGGCCTGGGGACGCTGCTGGCTCAGAGGCCAGCCCTGAAAGTTTCTGACTTCAGCAGGCAGCCCCAACAGGGAGAGAAGCAGAGGAGAGAGGGGGGATCAGGCCTGGGATGGGGGACGCTCCAGGTAGAGGGGGAGCCCAGAGGAGGCAGCCGAACAAGCGCGGACGGTCTGAGAAGCATGAGCTGAAACCAGAAGGGTGCGGAGGCGCCGGCCAGGCTTTGGGCAGAGCTACTCCCGGTGGCGGAAGCAGCCTGTCAGGGGGCTCCGGGAGGGGGGAGCAGCCGCGTGCTTGCGGGGGGTGGAGGGTCACTTGGGGAGCTGCTGAGGGCCCCCTGGTTAGACTCACGTTCCTGGCACGGGAGGGCAACGGTCAAGCATGAACTGGATGGTGGGAGCGTTCCAGGCTCCGTAGAAGGCGTGCTGGCCGCCGTCATCTTCCCCATCCCAGCCTCAGACCTCTCTGAATAGCTTGGCCCTCAGGTACACCCTTCCAGGTCTAGCATATAGCCCTGGGGCCCCACTTAGTCAGTCAACAAACTCCGATGGAGCACCTCAGTGGGCTGGGCATGTGTGTGGTGCGGGGATTGGGGCAGGAGCGGGTGCAGGACGACCAGGGAAGGGCTGGGGGTGGGCATGCCGGGAGAGGTGATGGGGTGGGGAGCAGCGGCCAGAGCGGGAGCCCTCCCTCCTAGGGGCTGGGCTCGAATGCGGGAAGACGAGGCAGGTTGCCAGCTTGGGGGCTGCTGGATGTGAGGCCATTGTAGGTTCGGGGGTCAGCGTGGGCCCCCCTGGGCCCAAGGACACAGCCAGTGGCTGGAGCTTCAGAGCCCTGGGGTGGGGCAGCTGGTGGTCGTGGGAGGTGACAGTTTAGAGGGCCCACTCTCAGGCCGTGAGTCCCCGAGAGGGCAGAGAAGGGGACGACGGTCCAGCAAGGGCTGGGCCCCTGGTGTGACTTTGGGCCCTCTCCCCGCAGCCCCACCGGCATGGGCAGCCTCGCCTACCGAGAAGACTTCGAGGAGGAGAGGGACCCAGGTGCGGGTCCTGAGTCCGGGCGAGGGGGCGAAGGGGCATATTACAAAGTGTAGTGGCTGAGGTGGGGGGACAGGAGGCTCCCTCAAACCCACACAGCAGGCCCAGTGTAGGGCTCTTGTTGGGTTATAAATGGTCCCAAGCCTGATGACTGAATGCCAGATTGGGATTCAGGGCCTGCAGCGCATCACTGGGCCTCAGTTTACCTCCGCTGTAGAAGGAATGGGTGTGAATGGGTCTCGCAGAGCCTGTTCTTGTAGCCTAGGGGTTGGCCCAGGCCAGGGCCCACTTCTCAGATTCCCTCTGGCTCCTGGCAGGCTTCCTGCAGGGGTGGGGGGAGGTGAGGGCTGCAGGGCCCATCCGCTTGTTTCCCGGCTCCCTGGCCATGCGCTGAGTGTCCCCAGTGCTGGGTCCCCTGGGGGCCGGTTAGCCCTCCGCTGGGGTGTCGTTAGCCTGTGTTTGTCCACGGCCCTGCACGATGCCCTGCTCGCTCTGGCTTCAGCATTCACCTGGGAGGTGAAAGCCAACAGCAGGACCTACAACAGCCAGTTCAAGAAGAACAGCTTCCTGTGCTGGCAGAGGCAGAAGTATAAGGTGGGCAGCCCCGGTCTCACGGCTCCGCCCCCCCACGTTAACCCTGAGGGCTGCAGCCCCGCCCCTGTGATGAGTGAACCCTTGACAGTGCAGTACGTCCATGGGGCTCCACCCCGAACCCGTTGCATGTGTCTCACTCTAGGGAGTACAGAGGCCGTGGCTCGGCCCCGTGGGTCTTCGCACCCAGTGGGGCTCAGAAATGCCAGCTTAAGGCTTGGCATTCAGCGAGCGCTCAGTAAACTTGGGCTCGAGACCTTGCATTCGGCAGGTGTTCAGTCAATGCTGGTGGCAGCCAGAGGGCAGGAAGGGTAGGTGGGGGGCCCCCTGGCCTGGGCTGCAATGCCGTGCCGGCTTTCGTTCCAGAGCAATGTCATCTACACTGCCAAGTACAATGTCTTCTCCTTCTTGCCCCTGAACCTGTATGAGCAGTTCTGCCGCATCTCCAACCTCTACTTCCTTTTTATCATCATTCTCCAGGTGTGGCAGGGTGGGGGCCGCCCCAGGGGTCAGCCCCTGCTCACAGTGCCTTCTCCAGGGGCCCTCCCTGACATCCCTTGCCCCAGGGTTCTGTAGACCCAGGGCAGTTGAACTGTGCTGTAGTCTGTGTGCTTAGTGGGTCAGTGTCTGGCTCCCACACTCATTGCTGGGGCCCTGCTGCCCAGCGCAGGGCCTGGCACAGAGGAGGTGCTCAATAGATGTTGAACGATGAAGGTGCATGCACGGCTCATTCAGGTCCAAGGAGCTGACCCCAGAGGGCAAGGAGGAAGCAGGGGTCAAGAGCATGTTCTCAGAACCTGCCGGGCCACTTCTCACTGCCTGCGTGGTCTGGACATGGGCACCTCCCTCCCTCAGCGGGGGGGGGGGGGCATTTTCCAGAGCACCCTGACCCTCACCCAGCATCTCATTCTGTTCTGAGTAAAGATCCAGTAAAAACTTATTGAGCACCTACTGCGTGCAGGTCCTATGCTAGGCATCGGGGACCTGGCAGTGACCTTGACACCTGTTTTCAGGTGGCTTGGGGACCGGTGGGGTGACATCACACCATGTGGTGGGCACCAGTGATGGGCACAGGGACTCCCCACCCAGGCTGGTCTCTGGGCCACTGGAGGAGGTGATGGGGAGGAGCAGGGTTACTGGGAGGGGAACAGTGAGCGTGAAGGCCCCGAGGAGGGAACAGCTCAGGCTGAGAGGGCTTCCTGGAGGAGGTGACATGGGAGCTGGGCATGGAAGGGATGCTGGGGAGAAGTTCTGGAGCAGGACCAGTCCTGAGGTTTGGCCCTGGGCTGAGGTGGTCAGCAGGTGGACCCAGGAAGCCAGGGTGGAAGGCTGGGGGTGCTTGGTGGGAGGGCGGGGGGAGGCGGTCAGGGTGGTGCCTGGGGGACGGGCTGGCATGACCCACCCGCCACGTCAGGGTTTCCCCGAGATCTCCACGCTGCCCTGGTTCACTCTCTTTGCCCCGCTTATGTGCCTCCTCATCATCCGGGCCACCCGAGACCTGGTGGATGACATCGTAAGTGTGGTTGGGGGGTGCGTGGCGCGGGGGCGGGTGTGGGGGGAGGGCACTCACACGGGTGGAAGCAGAATCTGCCTCCTGCTGCTGACACCGCGTGCTCTGGACAGACGCCCGTGTGGACAGCTTGCTCTGCACCTGGGCCCTTACCTGGGGGGCCTGGGGGCCTGGCTGGGGGTGGGGCCGCCCCTCTGACCTGCCCCCCGTCAGCCCAGGGGCGACACAGAAGTGACAGGATCGTCAACAACAGGCCGTGCCAGATCCTGGTGGGGAGGAGGTGAGGCCCGTGGCCCCGAGGGTGGTGGTGGGGGGCGCGACAGGGGGGAGTACCTGGATGGGTCCCATGGGACCTGGCCAGCCCTTCCTAAGTGGCTACTGTCTCCCAAGCCTGGGCTGGGCCCTGCGGTGGAGGTGGAGGCTGAGGGTCTAAAGGGGCAGGGGGGGGAGGGCCTGGAAGGGACCGGGTAGTGGGGCGTCAGTGAAGGCCGGCCTTCTGGCAGGACTGGGGGCGGGCAGCTGCTGGTGGGAAGCCCTGCTCTTTGAGCTGGGGGTGGCCAAGGCTGGGCGTGGAGGGGTCCCCTCTCACACCCACCACCGCCCCCACCACTGTAGGTTCCTGTGGAAGAAATGGGCGAACCTGCGTGTGGGAGACGTGGTGTGTCTGCACAGAGACAACATCGTCCCGGTGAGCAGTGGCCGGCTCCAGGGGGAGGGCGGCTTCCTGCTCCTTTGCCTCTTGCCCGCCGGCAGTGCTGTTTCCTCGTGACCCCCCCTCCCACCCCAGGCCGACCTGCTCTTGCTGGCCAGCACGGAGCCCAGCAGTCTGTGCTACGTGGAGACCACAGACATTGACGGGTGAGCAGGGGCTCATCACTAGGGGTTTGGGGCTCTGGCTGCAAGACCTTCTCCAACGGCCGGAGAGTCGGCACAGCAAGCCCACTTGGACATTCTGGTCATTCGCCCCATGAACACTTGTGCGGCGCCTGCAAGCCAGCAGGGCCAGTAAGATTAGCCCCGAGCAAGGGACCCACCTTCGCGCCGACATTCCTGGAGGCCCTGGTGTGCACCGCGTGCCGCCGCGCTGAACGCAGAAGTGAGGCACGGCCCTGCTCTCTGGGCCTCAGCCTCCTGGTTGGCAGCTGGTACACAGTAGGTGCTTAGCTCCCCATCTCATCACCAGGGAGACCAACTTGAAGTTCAGGCGGGCCCCGCTGGTCACCCACCTCCAGCTGACCAATATAAGGAACATGGCTTCCTTCCAAGGTGAGAGGCAGCGGACCTGTTTGCCCCTCCTGGGCCTGCATCTGCCCCTCTGTGCAGTGGGTGCAAAAGTTCCCCACCTTGCTGGGCTTGGAGGACGGTTTTGGGGTGTCTAGGGGGTGTTGGGGGCCAGGACAGCCTTTAAGAGGTGGGCTTGCCCCGGGGCCTGTTTCACATCCTCTCAAACGACGTAAGTGCTGGGGCGTTTCCTGTTGTCAACAACAGGAAGGGCAGCATTTTATCAGGCATTACGTCTTACTTGTAACGCACGGCCGCTGAAAGCCAAACACGTTTGGATGTTTAATCGAAAAGGCAGTCTGTGGACCTGGGCTAACGACCTACGTGTGGGTGGGAAAGCCCATGGGACAGGGAGTCCTTGACATTTCTTATTTTCTGCCTGGAAAGCAAGACGTTTCGTACCTATGGACACAGTTGGTGTTTGTCATGCCCCAGCCAGGGGATGCTTGATTGTTTTCCTGGCTTGTTGCAAAGGCACGTTACTCTAATGGGTCCTGGAGCAGAATCTGTGTCCTGTGCTGGTTTCCTGTCTGTCACGATTTCCAAGGAAAAGCCTGGCTTGTGTGGAGGGCGGCCGCACTGGTCCCGACACCTCCCTCTAGGCCTCCACCTGCCCCAGCTGCCCCAGGGCTCCTGCAAGGCTTGGCCCCATCAGAGGAGGACCCTGGGTTGGAGAGGTGACGGGAGGCGCAGGCTTGCCCCTTGGCTCCCCTGCCCCCCCGCCAGGCCTGCCATTTCTACGTTCAGGACAAACTCAGGCTTTCGGTGCTGGAGCAGGCCTGTGGCCCCCCGGCTTGCTCCCTCCCAGGGTCCCAGCCCACACCTCATTGTCATTTTTACCCTGCCCTGGGCCAGCCTTTGATCCCGAGTGTAGTTTCTCAAACAGAAGTGGGGCTGGCGATACCCACTCACTGTGCGGTGGTGGCAGAAAGACCCTCTCCCACCACCTTCTAGAACACTCTGCAGTGCCCTGTATCTGTCCCCTGTGGTTGCACGGTGCTGGATGTAGGTGTCCTTTTCTTCTTCCCCTCCTCAAAGGTTTATTGAGCACCTATTGTATGCCAGGGGCTGGGCTGGGCTCTGGGGCCTCGGTGTGACCGAGACGAGGCTGGTGCCTTCTCCCACGGAGCTCACAGACATCAGTGACACCAACCCCCGAATAAATGTCCAGTGACGTCCCGGGGTCATACCCATGAGCAGGGGGGCTCCTTGGGGAGGGCTTGTCTGAGGAGCTGTGAGTCCCGTGGGGCAAGTGTGGGGCGCTGCAGGCCCCATGATGGTGGCCCCCCTGCCTGGAGAGGGTGGCCCCAGCCCAGCCAAGCCCTTGGCTCCCTGACCGCCCACTGGCCCACAGGCAAGGTGGTGTGCGAGGAGCCCAACAGCCGGATGCACCACTTTGTGGGGTGCTTGGAGTGGGACGGCAGGAAGCACCCCCTGGACAGCGGCAATGTGCTTCTGCGCGGCTGCAGGGTCCGGGACACGGACACCTGCTACGGGATGGTCATCTATGCCGGTACGGCCACCGGGCTGTGCGGGGGGCGGTGGGGGCTCCGCAGCCACGGGCAGGAGGTGGAGGCCAGGCCCCGTGGAGCCAGCACCCTCGTTGCGGCTGAAGACGGGAGTGTTGTGTGCCGGTGGACGGACGTGGGGGCGGCTGGGGGGGGGGGGAGCAGACGGGCGGGGGGAGCGGGGGGTGGGGGCGGGGGGGGCGCGGGGGGGGGGGGGGGGGGAGGGGGGGGGGGGAGGGGACTCCCCCGCTGTGCGGGCCCTGCAGCCTGAGCCCAGGACAGGCCTGTGGGCCAGAGTCTTCCTGTAAGGTTAACGGTCGAGTAGGAATGTCCTCATGAAGGAAATGTTGATCTTGATGGTTTCCAGACGTGCAGGAGGCAATGAAATGCTCGCCTCCCTTCCACTGACAGTTAACGGTCCTTAACTTTTGGCTTAATTAACTTTATCTCCTTTGAAGTTATCGTAATAATAATTTAATAGCAGCCACAAGGCCTGACGAGAGCCGCCTGCAGGCCCCCCTGCACCCCCCCCCGCATCCCCTGGCCTCCAGCCCCCTCTGCTGAGCCCGTGGGCAGGGCTGGCTGGGGAGGGAGCCCTCCTCGCGGCTCTGCTGGTGGGTCCCCGGGGTGTCTGTGTGCCGCCTGGGGCTCCCCACCTGCGCGAGCTCCACCACCACCCTCCCTCCCCGCAGATCTTCGTGTCCCTGGTGCTGATCTCCATGGCACTGAGCTTCGGCTTCTGGTTCAAGGTGAAGGAGTTCAAGGCCAAGCACCACTACGTGTCCTCCAAGCACCTGTACAGCGCGGCCACCGAGACCTTCCTCATCTTCTGGGGCTTCCTCGTCCTGCTGAGCACCATGGTGCCCATGGCCATGTTCATCATGTGAGTCAGGCTGCCCCCACTGCCCCCACCCTTCCGTCAGAGTGGGGGGACCGGGCATGACCTGGCGTGCGTTGCAGGGTCGAATTCATCTACCTGGGGAACAGCATCTTCATCAACTGGGATGTGCAGATGTACTATGCACTGCAGGACGAGCCTGCCAAGGCGCGCAGCACCAGCCTCAACGACCAGCTGGGCCAGGTGGAGTACATCTTCTCGGACAAGACCGGCACCCTCACCCAGAACATCATGACCTTCAAGAAATGCTGCATCGGGGGTGTCATCTACGGTGGGTCCCCTGCCCCCCTGCAGCGCCCAGGAGTCTGCCCTGCCTCCGGGCCGGCGGAGCCGTGCTGGGGGCCTCGGGCGGGCTGCTACGGACGCGGGTGTGAGCGGTCCTCACACCTGCCCCGCGGCGGGACAGGACTCTTCTTTGGGTTTTTACAAACCGGCCTTCCGCGTGGACACTCATCAACATTTCCAGATGTCACAGGAGAAGTCTTTTTTGGTTTCCTCCCAGTCGTTTGGAAACCGGAAAGCCTTTGTCAGCTCGGAGACCACACAAACAGTGGTGGGCGGGGCCTCATCCGTCCTTGTAGTGAACTAGGGCACGTGGAGACCAGGAGGTGAAAGAGGGCCCGCCCCGGGGGGCGGGGTACGGGGGAGACAGGATGGGCGCATGCCCTCCTGGAAATTCCACCCCACCCTCAGCCGGGGCCCGAGGGGCGATAGGGAGCAGCAGGGTCTGTGGCGAACAGCATCTACCCCCAGCCGGGTCTTCTGATGTTTCTAGAAGGGCTGAGGACCCAGGTTTTTATGTGGAACCACCAATTTTTCCGAAGTAGGCAGCGAAGTCCCAGTTGTAAGAAGATAATCCTGAAGAGATCAAACACAGTGCTCGCTCTGTGGGGCTGAGTTCTGCCCTTGGCTGTCCTCTGGGACCCCCCAGAGGCTGTGGCTGCATCTTGGCCTCCTTTGTGCGGAAGGCAGAGCTGAGGCTGGGGGTCCTTGGTTGCTTGGGGTGTCGGGCCCAGAGCCCCAGGCCCAGCTTGTCCACTGTACCCAGTGGCCCCAGGACGCCTGACAGTGGGGATGGGGGGCTGTGGGATCCCCGTGGGTCCAGGAGAGCGGAGGCCTGATGGGGGGGGTCTTTCCCCCAGGCCCGGATGAAGAGGAGGAGGCCCCACATAAGGTGAGCCCTGGCCACCCTGCAGTGCTGGACGGTGCGGGGCAGGGGTGATCAGGGATGCGCCCACAACCCACCTGCCCCTCACCCCGCCCCACAGGAGAACCCCTACCTCTGGAACAAATTTGCCGACGGGAAGTTTCTTTACCGCAACGCGAAGCTCATGCGCGCTGTCCGGGACGGTGAGGACGAGATGGTGCAGGAGTTTTGGCGCCTCCTGGCCGTCTGCCACACCGTGATGGTGCAGGAGAAGGACAGTGAGTGCACCCACCCTCTCCCCGCCTGGGAGGGTGCTCAGGCCCCGGGGCCCCTGACACGCTCCCCTGGCCTTAGAGGTTGCCCAGCCCCATCACCAGGGCTCCTCTCACGTCCCAAGCCCTGCGTCTTCTGGATCTCGGGGTGTCCAGGCCTGTGACTCGAGATCTGTTCTTGCCGGGAGGGAGAGGCCCTTCAGACCGGGGCCCAAGCACCCACCTTCCTTTAGTGGGCTGAGAGGTCATACCAGCCCCGGAGACCACCACCCCGTAAATGTCTGCTGACTGTCTCCTGGGTCCATTTCCTCCCCCGTGCTCTGGAGATAGAAGTGGGACCCGCTGTAGGTGAGTGGCGCGTCGTGATGGAGGGCAAGCTCCAGGGAAGGCGCCCACCCACCCCGTGGTTCCCTCCCTGACCAGACCAGCTGGTGTACCAGGCTGCATCCCCCGATGAGGAGGCGCTGGTCACGGCGGCCCGGAATTTTGGCTACGTGTTCCTGGCACGCACACAGGACAGCATCACAGTCATGGAGCTGGGGGAGGAACGGGTGTACCAGGTCTTGGCCATGATGGACTTCAACAGCATACGCAAGCGCATGTCAGTGCTGGGTAAGTGCCCGTGCAGGGGAGAGTGTGGTGGGCTGGCAGGGTAGAGCGTGTGGGCAGCCAGGCCTCTCCCTCTGCAGTCCGCAACCCCGAGGGCTCCATCTACCTCTACACCAAGGGCGCCGACGTGGTCATCTTTGAACGCTTGCACAAGAAAGGCATGAAAGAGTGGACCACAGAGGAGGCCTTGGCTGTGAGTCCCTGTGGGAGGAGAGTCTGTGGGGTGCAGGGGGCAGGAGGTGAGGGCACAGGGACAGGGAGGGGGGAAGAGGAGGAGACTGTGCGGAGAAAGGGCACGCACCAAGGCTGGCCATGTACAGTTGTCCAGGTTGTGCACTGCACAACCCCCCGTGTGTGCGGTGTGTGCGCGTGCACACACACACCAACACACACACACGGCTGGGAAGGAGCTGAACTCTAAGCTGTTTCTGTTCAGAGGGGACATCTTTTTCTAAGTCACACAAGGATACCCTGTGGTTGGACTTTCGCCCTGGACACTGTCCCCCTTCTCCTAGCTAGGCTTGGGTTCTAAGACATGCTCAGCCCCCCTTGCCTCAAGTCTTTTGCTCCATGGGTGACGCGCAAACTCCTCCACCCAGCTGTTGAGGCTCTGTCTGCCTCCTACTGGTCTCTCTAGCCTGGTATCTCCTTGCCCCCAGGGGATTGCCCAGGACCCCAATTTCTGGCTTGCAATTTGCCCCATGCTCAGATGATGCCTCAAGACCTTTGCACATATAACCCCTCTGCTTGGAACTCCTTCCTCCACTCTGTCACTCAGGATCTTCTAGTCCTCAAGCCTCAGATGCAAGATCACCTCCAGGGAGATTTTCCTGCCCCAGTCATAACATAACATGTCCATAACAGGACCTAACAGCCCCAGCCCTAGGGCTGTCATGTCATGTCCGGTGTCCTCTCTCTGGCCCAGCCCTGACCCTATAGGGCTTCCTAAGGGCTTTGCTAGGTCTCCAGCATCACCTAGCCCAGGGGCCAATGGGGGTGTTTATGGCAAGAAAGTCCTGTGTCCCTCCACTTGGAGCTTCCCACAGTGCCCTGCTCTGCTGGGAGTGGGGGGTGGTGTGGAACTCTGCTGGAGGAGGGAGTTGGGGGGCAGGCCTCTGATCTCTGACTCTGAGCTGGGGAAATGCATACAGAATAATGACACGGAGCGCAGGAGCTCGGCAAGATGGCTTGGCTCAACTGCCTTGTAGAACAAATAGGTAAACTGAGGCATAAGAGCAGCGAAGGCCTGTCTGGTTCTTTGGATGTGCAAGGAGCCCCTGTTGTGCCCAAGCCCGGCCTCTCAGACCCACCTCCAGTCAAGAACAAAAGCGAGACCTGGGGCTGGGCACTGGGGCAAAAAACCTGGGGCAGGGTGGGGGGTGGGTAGGCAGAAAGTAAGGAGCCATGAGGAGTACCTTCCTTGGGGTGTCCCAGAGGTGAGCGGGTGTTCTCCTGGGGGGCCTGGAGACCGAGTCCCACATGATCCTTTCTGTTCCCGCCCACCCCCAAGAGGCCCCTTGAGAAGTGAGGCAGAGTGTTCGGTCCAGACATTCCTAAGTCAAGGGACCAGAGGGAGGGTCAGGGGCTGCAGGGGCCCCGACTGGGGAAGGGAGGGTCTTTGGAACAGGTAGAAGGTGCCATGCGAAGCGAAGGGAGGTGGTCCTGGCAGAAGGAAGGGCGGGGGCAGAGGTGTGGAGGCCAGGCAGAGCCGAGCATTGGCGGGGCGGTGGGGGGCTAGGCGGTGGTCGGGGGTCAAGGTTTGGGGGACCCAAGTGGGGAGAAGGGCTGGAGGAGTGTCAGGGAGGCAGGGTGGTTGGTGACAGGGTGGTGCCAGGACCCACCCACCCGGCCCCCCCGCCAGTGCTTTGCTCAGCAGACCCTGCGGACCCTGTGCCTGGCCTACAAGGAGGTGGATGAGGGTGTGTACCAGGAGTGGTGTCAGCGGCACCAGGAGGCCAGCATCCTGCTGCAGAACCGGGCCCACGCCCTGCATCAGGTGTACGAGGAGATGGAGCAGGGCCTCCAGGTGTGCGGAGCACGGAGGGCCGGGCCCCCCCCCCACCTCTGCCAGGGAGCCGAGTCCCCACTCAGTCTGCCTCCTGCCCCCTGCCCCCCACCCCTAGCTGCTGGGAGCCACGGCCATTGAGGACAGACTCCAGGAGGGCGTCTGCGACACGATCAAGTGTCTCAAGCAGGGGAGGATCAAAGTGTGGGTACTCACAGGGGATAAGCAAGGTGGGTCCCAGGGCGGCCACGCCCAGCACAGAGAGAAGGGGGTGGGTGGGAGAGAGCTCCTCACCTGCCTGGAGCGCCACCGACAGCCTGCCCCACTTGCCGGGGCTCGGCATTGCCCTCCACCTCGTCCCGGGAAGGGAGAAATGGGAACAACTCAAAATGCTGGGGTCCCCCCACCCCCCCGACACCTCCTTGGGGCGGGGTTGGCACTGTGCTGAGCACTTCCTGAGGTTTGGCCCTTGTTACCCCTGTGTGATGGATGGGCCAAGCAGAGCTCCGAGGACTCTGGGGCGCATGCTGGAGGTTGCCCAGGGACTTGGGCCCTGCGAGCCCCGGATCTCCTCCTTTCCCCTGCGGGTTCTTTGGGGCCCGCTAGCCGTGTGTCCCAGCAGGGCTGCATTAGGACTTACGTGCACGCCGGGCGTATACGCACAAAATACTTAAAATGACATTTTGCAGCTGACAAATATCCAAGCTGGATTATCTTTTTTCTTTTTGTTCTTCTGATTTTAAAAGAAATCAAATCATTTTTGTGGGTTCGCAGAAGTGCCCATGGGGCCTAGGCCATGTGCCATGTCCAATGACCCCTTGGCCGTGGCCCCCAGACTCCCTTCCTCCAGGAGCCTCACTGGCCAGAGGGCCAAAGTGGGGGCCCTTTTGCTCAGAGCTGCCGCCAAAAAATCAGGGCTGGCTGTCATTGGCTGGCCCGAGTCACATGCCTTATTCTGACCCAATCCTCACGGCCAGGGGGCGGGGCATGCTGATGTGATTGTGGGGGCCTGGGTCTACACCACAGGGTGGGCGTGGCCCCCGCGGGGGGCGGGGCTGCCGCCGTGTTGAACTGGGCTGGTTTGCAGAGACAGCGGTGAACATCGGTTTTGCGTGCCATCTGCTTTCGGAGAGCATGCTCATTCTGGAGGAGAAGGATATCGTGTAAGGGGGGAGGGGCGGGGGTTGCACCCATGCTCATTCTGGAGAAGGAGATCGTGTAAGGGGGGGAGGGGCGCGGGTCGCACCCGTGGCCTAAGAGTGGCTCCCGGGGTCTGCAGAGGGCCCTTAGTCTCTGCCTGGCCGGACTCCCACAGGGGGGGCCCAGGTCCAGCCGGGAAGGGGGTGGAGGGAAGCCTGTGCCCGCCGGCGCGGCTGAGCCGCTCGCGCTGGGCCCCCACAGTCGCATCCTGGAAGCCTACTGGGAGACCAACAACAACGAGCCGGGTGGCAAGGGCCGTCGGAAGAAGCGGTTCCTGCCGCAGGTCAAGATGGCCATGGTCATTAGCGGGGAGTTCCTGGTCAGTGCCCGCTCAGGGCCGCCGGCAGAGCCCCTGGTACTGGGGAGGGGGCTGGGAGGAGCAGCAGAGAGACGGTTCTCGGAGGGGCCGGAGCAAGGGAGGGTCGCGGTCAAGTCCAGCCTGGCGCTGGGACGCGAGGCCTGGGAGGAGGGGCCGGCTGGGGCGCTCCCGGAGCGGAGGCGTGCGCACAGAGTGATGCGCCCCCCTGCCCCCGGTGGCCAGGACCAGCTGCTGCTGTCCCTGCGCAAGGAGCCCCGGGCGCTGGTCCACAAGGCGAACATGGACGGGGGCGAGTCCTGGCAGGAGCCCGACGAGCAGAAGACGGACTTCCTGCGGGCGCGGCGCATATCCCTGATGTGGCGGACGCTCGGCATCCAGCTGAGGGGCACGGGCTTGGCGCCGCAGGTCACGGACTCCCACACCAGCGAGAGCCCCGAGGTGCGGCGGGAGCGGGCCTTCGTGGAGCTGGCCTCCCGGTGCCAAGCGGTCATCTGCTGCCGGGTGACGCCCAAGCAGAAGGCTTTGATCGTGGCGCTGGTTAAGAAATACCAGCGCGTGGTGACCCTGGCCATCGGGGACGGCGCCAACGACATCAACATGATCAAGAGTGGGTGGTGGGCAGCAGGTGGGGGGGGCGGGCAGCTGGCTGGGGGCGGCCCCGGGCTGACAGGCTGCGTGTCCCCCGCAGCTGCGGACATCGGCGTGGGGCTGGCGGGTCAGGAGGGCATGCAGGCGGTGCAGAACAGCGACTACGTGCTGGCCCAGTTCTGCTTCCTGAAGCGGCTGCTGCTGGTGCACGGGCGCTGGTCCTACATGCGCGTCTGCAAGTTCCTGCGCTACTTCATCTACAAGTCGGTGGCCTGCATGATGGTCCAGATCTGGTTCGCCTTCTACAGCGGCTTCTCCGCCCAGGTGTGCTCTCCATAACCTCCGCCAGCGAGGGCGGCCACTCCCAGCCTCGGTGCCCGGCGTTCTCAGGGATACCTGGCACATTGGAGCTCTGAAGTGAGGGCAGGACAGATGTCCGACGTCCGTCCTTCTAGTGGGCAAAAGGGGAGAGCGAGGAGTCCAGAGAAGAGAAATCTGGGGGGCTGGGTCCCCGACTACAAGGCTCTAGGCAGTGGCACGGCAAGGATGAGAGGTGCTCTCTGGAGCTCCACAAGGGTCCCAGGCACTGATTTTTCCCTGTGCAGAAGGAAATCGTCTGCGAATAGCCAGCTGTGAGAGGGAGTGAGGTCCCTGTCACTGAAACCCAGGGGTTTGTGGGGCAGCTTTACAGAGGCACCCTAGAAAAATATGTATTGTTTGTTCCTTTTACTTTTTATTTATGGATATTTTTCAGAGGTTTCTGTAAGTGGAATTGTTTTCTTAATTTGCTTTGGGGATTGTTCCTTGCTGGTGTGTAGAAACACGAGTGAGTTTTTGAGTTTTGGTCTGTGCCCTGTAACTTTGCTGAATCTGTTTATTGGCCCTAGTAGCTTTCTTGTGGGTCCTTTTGGGATTTTTCTGCATATAGACTTATGTCCTCTGCAAAGGGAGAGGTTTACTTCTTCCTTTTCTATTTCAATAGCATTTATTTCTTTTTCTTTCCTGATTGCTCTGGCTAGGACTTCCAGCGCAATGTTGAATAACCGTGTTGAAAGCAGGCTTCCTGTTTTGTTCTGGATCTTCGCAGGACAGCATTTAGGTGTTGTTGTTGTTTCCACATTTGTTAACTGGAAGAACTGTTGCTTCTCCTCTATTTATTTATTCAGTATTTATTTCTACCAGTGTAGACTCATGGGTATTTATTTTACTGTATCCTTTGTTGCTCAGATTGTCCCTGACTTGTCCCTTTTGACATGTGACCGCTCTTCTCTGAGTACACCCCCACTTTCTAGTGCTGTAGGAGGCTCCATGCTCGTTTTGTATTTCCCCTGCTGCCGCTCTGGAATCAGCCATTCCTGTCAGGAGTCCTGGCTCTTGGTAGTTAGACACCAAGCTCTAAGTGCCAGCTGTGCTCACAGGGATGCTGCTGGATTCCTCTCTCAGTTGACAGGAGCTGCAAACTGTACATGTACTAACCCTGTAGAGACACACATCCGTATCCGTGTCTGTCGGGCCTTGTCTCTATGTTTGTGGATATGAAAACCTATGAGTTCACAGCAGTCCATCTGATTCCAGTCCCACGGGACAAGGCTCAGCTTAGCCTTTTCCATGTACTCATTTGTGAGTCTTTTCTCCAACGGTGAGAAACTTCATTCTTGTAAAATTTCTTATTTTTAACTTTTTCGCTCAATACCAGGATGCACATAAGGTGGTTTTCAGAGCTGATGCTCATGTTCTGTTAACTGGATTGGATTCATCATCAGGAGACCTACTTGCCTGTGAGGGCTCTTCCACATAGTGATCCCCCTAAACCTAAAAGGACCCAAACCCCCCACATCCTCCTAGCCATTTTCCCTCCTGTATTTCTACGTTGAAGCCATCCCATTAAAACAAGAACTCAGAGGTGCAGTTTTGCAACAGTTGGACCCCGCTTTTCCTCTCTGCCTTTTATCTTCCAGCCTTCATCAAGCCTCCCGTAGCCCACCCTGGTTTAGCACCAACCTTCATTATAACTTGACCTCCCCGCTCACCTGGAAGCCTCCCCAGGGGTCCAGTTAGTTTGGGTGGGGCTCCTCGGGTAAAGACTTGTTTCTCTCTTTGGCCACTGGCCGGCTGAAGGCTGACCGCGCCCCCTCCCTCCCCCCCACCAGCCTCTGTATGAAGGCTGGTTCCTGGGCTTCTTCAACCTGCTCTACAGCACACTCCCCGTTCTGTACATCGGTCTCTTTGAGCAGGTGAGCAGACCCAGGCCTTGTCTCCTCCTTCCCTGGAGGTGCTCCCATGTCTGCCCTGCAATTCCCCACCCTGGGGGGCCTGGCATGGGGGTGGGGCTGTCCCCAACTCCCCACCTGGTCCCAAGAGCCTGCCACTCCCTCCCATGCCCCACCCCCAGGACGTGAGTGCCGAGCGGAGCCTGGAGCTGCCCGAGCTGTATGTCGCAGGCCAGAAGGACGAGCTCTTTAACTACTGGGTCTTTCTCCAGGCCCTCGCCCACGGCACGGTCACCTCCCTGGTCAACTTCTTCGTGACCCTGTGGGTCAGCCACGACTCGGCTGGGCCTGTCAGCTTCAGCGACTATCAGTCTTTCGCTGTGGTTGTGGCCATGTCGGGCCTGCTGTCCATCACCATGGAGGTAGGCAGGGCTGCCAGCCTGTCCCGCCCCAGGGGGGCCTTGGACACGAGCCACCGAGGTGTACCCGCTCAGTGACCCTGCCGGGGGGCCTTAGCAGGTGGCCTTCGTGGACCTGGGGACTCAGCCCCCACCCAGTTCCATGGAGCCTCGGGGTTCCTGGCACCACCCTGGCCTAAGCCCCCCTCCCCCTTCAGGTCATACTCACCATCAGGTACTGGACGGTCCTGTCTGTGCTGGCCGTTTTCCTCAGTCTCTGCTTCTACATGGTTGCAACTTGGGCCAGCCAGAGTTTCTGGCTCTTCCAAATCTCACCCAAGACCTTCCCATTTCTGTGTGAGCCCCCAGCAGGGAACGGGGTGGCGGGCCCCGGAGAGGGGTGTATCCACGCCAGAGTGCCCGCGGTGCCCCCTCCGAGCCTCTGTGTTCTCAGCTGTGCAGGGGTGCCATGCAGGGGGGCTGGTGCCTTCTGGGCATCTGCACAAAGGTGTCCTGGGGGCAGAGGGAGGGGTGGGAGTTCGGGTGTCAGGAGGAGGGGGCACCCAGCAGACCCTGAGGAGGCTCCACCTGGGGCTGAGCTGTGACTCTGACCTGTCACCAGATGTTGACTGCAACGTTCTGTCACACCCCTCCATCCTGCTGGTCGTGCTGCTGAATGTGTCACTAAACACCCTGCCCACACTGGCTCTGCGTGTCATTTGCCAAGCGCTCAAGAAGGCAGGCCCCAAGGTGAGGGGGCTGGGGTCCCCATCCCACACTCCTGGGACCCCCTCAGCCGGAGCCTGTGCTGGGAGCAGAAACTCCAAGACACAGGGCTGGGGGTGGGAGGAATGGAGACCCAGGCACACCCCAGTGCCCTCAGGGGGACCAAATAACAGGCCCCAGGGTCCACCCCCAGATGTTCGGGGCTTGGGGGTCCAGATGACAGAGCAACTCAGAAATGGTTTAGGGAAGTGAAGGGACCTAGAAGCACCCCAGGTGTCCACTGAAGGATGAACTGGTAAACACAGTGGGGTGCATCCCCACGCGGGAACAGGCTCCAGCCTCAGGAAGGAAGGGACCCTGACACTTGCCACGACTCGGAGGGACCCCCGAGGACACCGGGCTCAGTGAGAGGAGCCAGACCCGGAAGGACACATCCCGCAGGAGGACCCCACTCCCAGGAGGTCCCCAGAGGAGTCCCGTCCCCACAGACAGAGAGGAGAGGGTGGGAGCCGGGGCTGGGGCAGGGAGGGGGTGGGGACAGAGTCTCCGTGGGGGGAGACGGAACGTTCTGGAGACGGAGGGTGGAGTGGCTGCAGGACCGTGTGAGTGGGCTTAATGCCACGGAGCTGTGCACTTAGAGATGATTAATATGGTACATTTTGTGTTATGCATATTCTACTACAAGGAAAAAAACCCAAACCTAGAAGGGAGGGTTGCAGCTGGGATGGGCCCTAGAATTGACTGGAATAATGGACCAAGACATGGCCAGAAACCTGCCACCTTCGGCCCCGCGGGCTGGACACATGGCTGTCCCAGGTGCGCCTGGCCTGGCTTTGCCACCAGAGGGCACCCAAGGCCCCTGGTGGCTGGTCGGGGTTAGGTCCCAGGGAAGGACGCATGGGTTGGTCCAAAATCAGTCTCAGAGAGGACTCTTAATTCGCGCAACTCGGGCAGGGAAGGGTCAGTCGGTGGTGGCCAAGGAAGGGCTCTGAATGGTGCCCGCTGGGGGCAGGTGAGCCGACAGCAGCCCACGGGGCGGCGCGGGAGCCTGGTGACCTTGGCTCTCCTCTTTGCCCTGCAGGAGGTGGAGGAGGCCCCAAGTGAGGGGATCATCACGGTGGAGCCCGGGCGTTACCTGCCCCGGGGGTCGCGCGGCCGGCGCTCCAGCTATGCCTTCTCCCACCGCGAGGGCTACGCGGAACTCATCACTCAGGGCACCATTCTGCGGAAGGCACCGGGGGTCAACAGCGACATGCTGGTTGACCGCACAATCCCATCCGAAGAAGAGCTGTCCCCAGGCATGAAGGAGTCATTCCGGTTCTCCAGGAAGATGTCCCTGCTGGGGAAGAAGAGGCACCAGCACCAGGGCAAGGTGTCCTCGGAGGAGATGTCGCCGGCCTGCGCGGTGAGCTCGACGGCCACGGCGGGCAGCCTGTGCTCCCAGGAGTCGCTGCCGAGGAAGCAGGAAAGCGAGCCGCTGCCTTCGGGGAGCGCGGCGCAGCCCTGGGGCCAGCCGTCTGGGCAGAGCCAGCCGGCGCCGCTGGAGGAGAAGCGGTCCGCGTGGAGGTCCCCTCTCCGTTCCTGGAAGAGCCGGCCCTACAGTCGGCAGAAGTTGCAGCCGCCCAGGGAGGGCACGGCGCCGCTGCGCAGCCAGACCCTCCCCGCCGTGGGGCCGACCGCACCCCCACCCACGGGAGAGCCCTCCGCGGACGGGCCCTCCCGCCCGGGGAGGAGGCTGTCGTCCCTGTAGGGGCTGCCGGTGCCCCGGGGCCGTGCACCTGCTCGCCCGGGGCCGCCCCCGGAAGACGAGGCTCGGTGTCCTTTTCTTTTGCGAATAAACCAGGGTCCACCTTCCCCCTGTGCTCCTCGAGGCTCCTTCTTTTCCTAAACTAGGGCTGTCTTCGGTTTAGAAACCCACACACTGACCTCTAGTGACCGGGAGGGGGATTTGCAGGAAGAGCCCCCGCCCCCAGCCCTTCTTCAGCCCGCGCCGGCTCCCGGGGGCTCCCGGGGGCTCCCGGGGGGGCCCTCCCAGGGCACTAGGTCAGGTCCAGCCCTGGCCCCTGCAGCCTCGTCCCCAACCACGCTGCCCTGGTGGCTTCCCCTCAAAGGAGCCACCTTCCGCGCCAGGCGACTCCCCTCGCCTCCCGGTGCCCCATCCCTATCCCCCTGCACCGCCCCCCTTCCGCCAGCACACAAGTCCAGGTGAGTGAGTAGAAAATAATTTATTGGAGAAAAACAAAACAACAAATCCAGCACAGCAATGGTTAACAATGACGATTTTTTTTTTTTTTAACTTTTAAGCCTGTCACCTGAGGGTGGGAAGGAGAGGGCTTCTGTGCCCTCTAGCGTTTGGGGGGGGTGTCTCCCCAGAAAGCAGCCCTAGTGTCTAGTCTTGGTTAAACACTCAGGGCCACACGGCCACGTGGCCCTCCCTCATCCCTGGCTGCAGAGAATCCCCCCAAAGACCAGCCCTTGGGGGGCATGCCAGGGCCACCGCGGGGAGCCCAAGGGTCTTGGGGGGGGGCTGGTGCGGCTCACCCTGCTTTGGTTACAGAAGTGGGATGGCCCAAATCCCAGGCAGTGCTGGGCTGGATGGGTGGGGAGGTCCTGGAATATGCCTCCCCCCCCTCCAGTCTGGGGCCTCTTTCCTTAAGGGTGAGGGGCTCCTTCCACTACCCCAACCCCCCCTTCCTGGGGCCAGTCTTGGAAGCTCCCACTAGCGGGAGCTCAGCAGAAGTGCAGTCAGAGGCGGGGATACTGCCCCAGAGCCCCCTTTCATGGATAGTTTTGGGGAGCTCTCTGTTCTCTAGGGTCCTGACATGGTTTGGGAGGGAGGGCTCCACAGATGTGCACCCCCGCCCTACATCCCAGGCCAGACAAAGGTTAAAGCCACATCCAGCCCAGGGCCAGGGAGGCTGAGGGTATGGGTGGAGCCTGGCTGAGTGCCTGCCTGGGGGCGGGGGTGTCTCAGGAGGGCCCTTGGGATCTCGGGAAGTTGGGGTACACCCTGGCCCCCACCACCCTGGGCGACAAGACTCGCGTTGGCTGATTGTCTCTCTCCTCTGAACAAGACACTTGGGAATTCATGCTCACGTGAAACCAGCTGGGTGGGGGTGGAGGGTCCGAGGTGGCAGCGACACCCACTTGCACCCAAGAACCAGGAGCAGGAGGCCCAGGATCCCCCACCCGGTTGGCACAAGCAGGTGGTGTGTGGGCACCGGGGGATCTGGGTGCGGAGTGTGGGTCTGGGTCTGGGTGCGGAGGCCCTGCGGCCTCCTCCACCTTCCTGGCAGCCCAAGGCCTTGTCCCCCGCCCGCCGCCGCCGGACACAGATCCTTAGAAAGGGGGGGAAGGAACACAGAGCAGGGAGAAGGAGCACCGACGGAACTCAGGCATGAAACACAACCATGCGACACGGAACCCCGGGGCTCTGACCCGGCCCGGCCCCCCCGCCCCCCCCCACCTAGCACATTAGTCATGCATCAAATCAAATTCCATTGTCTTTTTTTTTTGATTTTTCTTACTTTTTTTCTTAAATTACATTAAATTACATTTGAACACAGAACACATAGAATAATAAATACTCTTATAAGACATGACTCCAAAAAACGAGGAACAGAACACGCCAGAAAACAGAAAGGTACACTCTCTCTCTCTTCCTGTCTTTCCTAAAGGACTCGTTTGAGTAAGAAATCTGTAAACGCCGGTCCTGCGCTCCTCACCTCTCACCCCCGCTGCCCTGCCCTTGGCCTCTGACCACCCGGTTCTCACTGCCCTGACATTCAATATGTCTCCCACGGAACTCTTCAAAGAAATGACATACCATCGTCTGCAAAATTATAATTTAACGGTATAAAGCTTCAAGTCACGTATTCCAAAAACTAGCTAAGGATTTTTTTTTATCACATAAACTATACATTAAATATTTTGAGGTATTTCAGAGAAAATTGTCAAAGGCTCGAAGGAGCTGTGCTGGAGGTGTCATTCCCTGCAAGGAGAATGGTCTTTGGTATGTGACAACCAGCTGGGTGTCAGGGAGAGTGGGGTGGGGCCCCACTCTCCCACTGGGGGGGGCCTGGGGGGGGGGTCAGGGCCCCTGGAGGGGCTGGACTGGAGCTGGTGTGTGTGTGTGTGTGTGTGTGTGTGTGTGTGTGTGTGTGTGTGTGTGTTTGAAAGGGACCCCGGGATCCAGGGTTGCTTCTGTGACCTGGGCTGGTGGGGCTTGACCCGATCTGACCACAGGTCACCATAGCTAGAAAGTTCCACAACCAGAACAGTCCCAAGCCAGTTCCTAACTATCCATCAGGGGACAGAACAGAGACCTCTGGCCTCTGGTCCTTGGACCTTAAATGCTGGGAAGAGCAAGTGACTTACCCAGCAGGGGGTGTCCCAGAAGCCCTGTCCCCTGCAAGCAGGCGCCCTGTCCAGTGGGCCAGGTGACCGTGAGAGGTGGAAGGAAGGGGTCTGGGCACCCAGACTCCAGCGCCCAGGCCCACCCCAGAAAGGACAGCAGGGCGTGGGGGGGGCGGGGGGGGGTTGGTTGCTGAGCGGGAACAGGAACTCTCAGGACTCTGCCCCAACACCCAAAGGTTCTAGAAGTATCACTCAGGTTGGTTGCTTAGGAAGCTGGGAGAATAGCGAGTCGACAAGGACAAGGGAACACTTCACACACATCTTTGGTTCCAGAAAAAGGCACTCATCGACCTCAGCACCCTCGCTCCCTCCCTCTCCTTCACTTCTCCCTGTCTCTCTCTCTCTCTCCTCCCCCCTCCCTCCTCTCTCTCTCTCTCTCTCTCTCTCTCTCTGTCGTCGCTGGGGAGCGGGGCACACCTGGAGGGCGGGGCCGGGCAGGCCCTGGGCCACACCTGGTCCCAGGCGAGGGAATTCCAGCGTCCAGCACAGGTCCTTGGGGGGAATCTTTGGTATCAGGCGTGATTTATCCAATCACAGACAAGAACGTTTGAGTGAGGTAGCCTTTACCTGGGGGAGGGGGAGGGGCATTTCACTAGAAATGTCTTTTGCATTCTCAAGGGGGGAGGGGGTGACTACCTCCCTGGGAGGCAGTGGATGCGCGGGGTTTTGGGGGGTGAGTTTCCTTCTAGCCTCCAGATCTTGAACCGTGGGCAAGGGGGGGTGCTCAGGATCCAGCTGCCGGCCAGCCTTGGAGGTCACCTTGGAGGTCACCAGGAAGGGAAGAGAGACGAGCAGGGGGGTGTGGGGGGGGGCGCCTCTTCTTTTCTGACCCTTCCTTCCCCCTCGTCAATTTTTTTTTTTTTTGGCAAAAAATGGAGCAAGCCAATTCCACCTTCTTCAGCATCTTCTTTATCCCTTTGGAGAGAGAGTCGCAAGCACAGGCTTGCCCCCTGCCTCCCCTTCAGGCCCAGCGCGGCAACCCTGAGCGCTGGGAGGTGGTGGGTGAGTTCCAGAAGGTTCCACGCAGGTGGCCACGCCATGGCCCCAGCACGCAGGGATTCCGGGTGGGCTCCCGCGCTCTCTCTGTGCTGGTTTTTCCTCGTGGAATCTGGATGGGTTTTTTGGTTTTGTTTTTTTCTGTTTCCCGGGGTCTGTCTCTCCCTGTGTGTCATCAAGGTGCCTAAAGGTAAAGTGAACTGACAGGGGGCGCCGGGAAGGAGGCGTCTGGAATGTACCCGCATGTTCGAGCTTGCCGCCCCCTCCAGTCTGGGGCTGGCTGGGGGAGGCTGCCCGCCTGGGGGCGCCGGCCGGCTCCGCTGCGACCCCTCCCCAGACGTTAAGGCAGGCGATTCTTGGCACAAGGAACCCTGGTGGCCGGGGGAGGGGGGGCAGCTGGGTTCTCGGTTGTGGGGCGGTTCTGCCGGCGGAGGGGCTGGTCCTGGTGCGGGTGGGGCGCTGCAAGGACCCCCAGCCCGACGGGGGTTTTTGGCGACTTTGGAAGGGGGGGACCGCTGGGGAGGAGGGCTCCTCCGGCCTCCCTCGTGGGGGCGGGGGCTGGCGAAGGAGGGGTTATTCTCAAAATTCCTTCTAATACCCGGTTTATATTTCTAGTATGTGCTTCTTGACCCGCTTTTGGGGACGACGCGGGGAGCCCTGGTTTTGCCCGAGGCCCTCTGGGCGTCCTGAACGGAGGGAGGTGGGGAGCCCCTTCTGCCACCCCCTCCCCTCTGGGGGGGTGGAGGGCTCCCTTTGGCCTGGAGGGGACGGGGGGGGGTCGGGAGGAGGGGCCCTTCTTGTGCACTGGGCTGGGGGGCAGGCTGAACCCCTCCAGCGCCCCCCCCCCCGGGGCGGGACCGGGCCGGCGGGGCGGGGCGGGGCGGGGCGGGGGCGCGAGGGCTCAGGCCTTGGAGAAGGTGGCGGCGGCGCCGGCGGGGCCCGCGGGGGCGGCGCCCGGCTCCTCGGCCCAGCGGTTCATGCAGCGGCGCCGCGCGTTCATGAAGAAGTTGCTGACGGTGTTGAGCTCCAGGCCGAGCTGCTGCGAGATGGTGACCTGCATCTCCTTGGACGGCCGCTTGTTCTCCTTGAAGATGGCGATGAGCGTGCGCCGCTGCAGGTCGGTGAACACCAGGCGCTGCTTCTTGGGCTGGAGCGCGCGCTCCTTCTGCTGCTCCTGCTCCTTGCGCTTGCACGCTGCGGGCCGCCCGGCGCGCGGGACGGGGGACAGAGCGGGGACACGGCGTGAGGGCGGCTCCACGGGCCCGGCTCGCCCTCCTCGCCGCCCCCCGGGGCCCTGACCCCGCGCTGCCGCGTCTCGCGGCCGCCGGGACGCTGCGGGACATTACGTGCGAGCTCCGTGGCTCAGTTAGACGGCGTGGGAGAAGCCGTGAATTACCAGGTCCCTGGGGTGCGTCCCCGACCCCGGTAAACGCCCCCCACCCCAGTGACGGGAGTACCAGCCTGTGTCTCCTTCCCCGGGCTGTCAGTCAGGCCTGACCAGCTTAGGGACCCTGTGTCGTGAGGCTGACCTGACGTAGCCCTGGCTCCGGGGCCCAGGCCTCCCACCCGCACCTCCACCCCAGGAGGCTGAGGCCCAGACCTGGCCTCCCTCAAGTGCCCAAGGGATCCTCTGGAGCTGGGAGGATCTAAGGAAGAGTCGGGGGATGGAGCACCGACCCCCCCACCTCCGCTGGAAGCAGAGAGAAGGCTGCAGAAGGCCCCCCCCATCGCGCCCCACCCCCACCCCGGCTGGTGGATGCTTGCAAAGGGGAGTGGGCTGCACCTCAGGGCAGCTGAGCAGGACCCCAGGCTGCTCCGCGGGCCCCGGCTCCAAAGTGGACCCCTCCCCTCAATGCGGTGGGGCCAGGGGTTGGAAAAGATGAGCTTCACCAGCCTGCACTGGCTCCTTCCCTCCAGGGGCTCTGTCAGAGTCTCAGTTTCTCCACCAGGTACTAGTCCGGAGGTGAAGAGCCTGCTCCCTCCTGCCTCCCCACCAACTCCCCACCCCGGCTAGTCTGTCACCACCCTCCGCTATACTAGCAGAACCCTGCACCCAGCCTGGTGACCCACCGAGACCACACACCAGACTGGCTTTGTTTTGGTTCTGGAAGAGTGTGAACCAGATGGCATGCCAGATCAATGTCCACACACATCTGTAAAAATAGATTACTGTTCCCTGTGCTGTGGCTCATTGCTCAGGGACAACGGGTTCTCCCAGGAGAACTGACACCACACTTCACTCCCTGTCTCCCCCTGACCTGAAACACGCAGCACTTCCAGTGGGCTCTTTCAGGTTTTATGATTAAATAAGGGTGATGTTTGGAGATTACTGGACAGTTAAGAAAAGCCTCTAAGGGGAGAGAGAGAGAGAGAGAGGGAGAATGAGAAAGGGGGGAGGGGAGGGGAGGGAATAGGGAGGGAGGGAGAGAGACAGAGGAGACAAATGAGGAAAAAACTCTGATGGGTACTCTTGGGGGTAAGAGAAAAGCGCTGTATCCATGAAACAAGAACAGGGTGCTGTTCAATAAAAAGGACAATGGAAAGGGAAGACAGGACTCTTGAAGTAAATGTATAATCGCTGGGATAAACCAACGTAAGGACTGGAACACAGCGCTAAGCAAGTACCCCCAGAAATAGGACCAGGCAAACGCCAAGATGGGAAATGAGAGAAAGGTGACAGTAAAGGGTGGCTTGGGCAGGTCTGCCATCTGATTCAGAGGCAATCGAAAACTAGAGGGAGAGATTCCCAAGTAAATAATGAAAAAAAAAAATCCATGTTGGAAGGACATGAGAGTCCGCTTAAAAGAGTCCATGCCATGAAGTGCTCGGCTCAATGGGGGAATAAAGATACTCCTTGAGGCTCATCCTTGTGAGGGTCCTGAGACCCAGAATAAAGAGAATAGAGGAAAAGCTCCCAGAGAGGAAAGCCAGACATCTGGGAGGGACGAAGGGTCAGAGTGGCTTTGGCTTCTCAAAAACTAGGAGATGGTGAACTAATGCCTTCAAAATTCTGAAAGAAATTCTATTCAGCTAGAATTGTATACCCAGCCAAACATCAAGCAGGAGGGCGGAATAAGGACAAAGTCAGACAAGTCAAAGTCTCCAAAAGTTGACTTCTGTGCGCTCTTCCTCAGAAAACTCCTGGAGGATGTGTTTCACCAAAATGAGGAGGTAAATTGAAAAAGTAAAGTGTGGGATTCAGGAAGTGTGACTTTCCTACCAGAAAAGGAGAGGATCCTCCAGATGGAGAGGGCAGGGCCTAGAAGACCGCGGAGCAGAGGCACTCAGGACGTGGAGGGCAGCCCCGTCCAGCACCGAGGGAAGTGGAAAGGGGACATGACCTAATATGTGTGGAAAATCCTATTGAGTTGGTTGGCATTTTTGTTGGGGAGTGTGGGAAGAACTTGTGATAGGCAACTACTAACTCCTGGAAAAACAAACAGTTGTACAAGAAAGAAAAATGCAATCCTAGTACTCTATGTGGCTCCGATGTGGACAATATTCACTGAAAGCATAATAATGTAATGCTGAATATTGATTTAAGCAAAAGACTGTATTCGTAACTATACTGAGAAGCTGACGGAGGGAAGGGTGTGGTATGGATATATGGAAAGATGGTGAGGCGAAAGGAGGCAGATGAGCAGTGCACCAGGCAGCCTGCTATGTACAGAAGAGGGAAGCAAAAACGTAAGCTCATATTTTGTCTGCATTAAGAAATGTTGGAAAGGAGTCACCGGTCCTGACCTCCCATCTCCTTGGAACTTGGCCACCCTGGTCAAGGGTCAAGGGTCAAGGGTCAAGGGAGGGACTGAGTCCCCCATTCTTTCAAAGAGAAAGCTGAGTCTCCAGCTTCAAGTCCAGGGTAAGAGTCAAGACTCAGCCCCAGGCCTTTAAATTTCAAAAGAGGCCCTCCTTGCCCACCAGTTGTAATCTTCAATTCATTAACTGATTCACTTGTTCCTTCATTCACTTTAGCAGTTTGCTCACAAATACATCACACACTTACAGCAGGGACAAAGATACAAATGATCCTCAGAAAGCTCAGAAGAGGGACACCTGGCTGGCTCAGTCGGTAGAGCATGCAACTCTCCATCTCAGGATCCTGAATTCAAGACCCACATTGGACGTAAACCTTACTTTAAAACAAAAAAAAAAAAAAGAAAAGAAAACCAAAAAGAAAGCTCACAAGAGCTTTACATGTCAAGAGGCTTACATGTCTCTTATCTTTTAATCCTTATGATAATTCCATTAGGCAGGGATTGTTCTCCTTACTCCAAGAAGGTAAGCCACTTGCCCGAGGTTGCCCAGCAAGTCCCAGCATGGGCAGGACAGGAGCCACGGTGGACTGGCCCTGGCCCAGAACGGGAGGGAGGTAAGACATGGTTCACCTCTCTCCCCCTACTTCCCCCTTCTCCAATCAAGTGCCTAATGGGGGCCTCAGAGGCAGGGGCTGGGGGAGGGGCCAGGCCAAGCAGAGTCATGAAAAAACTTCGTGTTTTGTCGATCACAGCAAAAAGAGGCTCCCCTCTCCCCCCTTCCCAGTGTTCAATCTAATTACAGCTCCTCACAGCCCCAATCGATCTGGGCTCCAGTCAGAGCTGTTTACCAGGAGCAGCTTTTGTCCTGGCTTCCATCCCCCACAGCCCCCCGGAGCCTAGCCTGGAGGCTCAGAGGTGTGAGTGCCAGTCGGGAGAGGCAGCCCAAATGCCCCCCATCGGTGCACCTGCCACCATCGCCACCTTCCCCTCCTCAGCATCCTGTCTGGTGCCCGAGATCACTCCCACCACCAGCCCACCACTGCTGTCCTTGTGTCACCTGGGCACCCCAAGAGGAGGACAGGCGGTGGGTATGAGCCCCTTTGCAGAAGTGAAATCCCAGACTGGGAGAGAGGAGCTGACCCAGAGCCCGGCTGGGGAGAGCGCCTGGAGGAGAAGGCTGGACTTACCCACAATGCCAACCACCAGCTTCCTACTGCGTCGCCACTGCTATGGCCACCTCTTCCACAAGGATCTCCACTGGGGACCGCCACTGTGGTTTCCAGTCCATCACCTCCTCCACCGTCACCTCCCCCACCGCCTCCGCCACCACCTGCACCATTTCTACCATCATCGCCTCCTGCACCATCACCTTCTCCACCAGCAACCCTTCCACCTCCATCACCTCCTCCACCTCCTCACTGCGTCACCCACCACCTGCACCGATTCTACCATCACACTTCCACCACCATTGCCTCCTCCACCATCGCTTCCTCCACCACCTGCACCGATTCTACCACCATCTCCTCCTCCACCGTCGCCTCCTCCACCAACTGCACCGATTCTACCATCACACCTCCTCCATTATCGCCTCCTCCACCATCGCCTTCCCCACCGCCTCCGCCACCAACTGCACCAATTCTACCATCATCTCCTCCTCCACCATCACC